ATCCAATAAAGTCTTCTTCAGCCTGACCACTTCACTTCTCATTGAATAATTGGGACCCCTGGGCAACTGCTCACGTGTTTTCCGGTGGTTTTCATCTGCTTGAAGGATGGCTTGCCTTATATCAAGATTTATCCAGGCTAGTGGAAAACGTGGCATGAATGATGGTTCAAATTCACAAATATTTATTAAGTCTGTAGAGTCATCTGAAGAACTCTGATTTTCCATGGAAAGATAAAGCTAAAAAAACAATATGTGAAAAAAACCCAAATCTTTCCAAAAAGACCTGTAATATACATCAAGTAATAAAACAAATGGTTATAATTCTGATAAATACATAATTAAAATTTCAAAGGCAGCAGGCTACCATTAATATACCCTCAATTCTACTATGAAAACGAACTGGAAATTAAAATTACTGAAAGCAAAATCTCCTTTTTGGTTTTTTTTATTGTTGTTTTGTTTTTGTTTTCTTCTGAGGCTGTTTTATGTTTTAGACAGTTTATATTTATAATATAAGAGAATTATGTAGTTATGAAAACAGCTGGCGAGGCAAGAGTTGCTTAATGCCTTTTGGTGGCATGGGATAAAGTAAGGATATAATCACACTGCATGTTTCTGAGATAGTCTATCCACCAACATGCTGTCTACATTGTCACAGTTGTTGACCAGTCCTGAAACAAGTTCCCACAGAAATTCAGTTCTTGATGGGATGCAGTTATTACCGACTAGTATACCTAGATATTTCTATTTACTAGTCATAAAAAGCAGAATAGCTAAAGTTAAATCAATATGAAGAATTAATAATAAAGTAAATCAGAACAAAAGTTTTTAAATTTTTGAGCTTGGAAACCTCTTCATGTATGTCTGATTAAGGCAATCAAAATGAATTAAGTACCACAATAACCTTATCTTAATGAAGTAGTTTTGGTGTTATAGAAAATGTCTCTGCAGTCTCACTACTCAATGATCTACCATGTAGACTTTAAATCATTTTGTTTATGTAGCCCTAGCCACACCTACCCTGGCCGTGACTCGTATAGCCTCCCTACACGCTTCCTGAAAAATGGTCTAATGTTTAAACTTCCCTCACACAGCCAGGGAAGGCATGGCTAGGTCTGCACAAACAATGTGACTTAATGTGTAATGTCTTTGAAGAACTGAAAAATGGCCAGTAATTACAATTTTCCATCATTTAGTCAGAAAATTAATAGAAACTCACCATAGACCAAATGGCCGAAAGGCTTACTTAAAGGGACAATATAGTCAGCAAAACCACTAGAGCTTAATGTTCCTGCGGGCTCAGCAATGTAAGCACTGTCTTTGCATGTACGTTTGTGCTGATGATCATTAAGATTGTATATAGCAGTTAGCCTTAGTCACTTTCTTTTATATTATGTGTGCATTGTGGTATTGGCTATTGTTTATTAGTGTATTA